TTATGCAAAAATAAATGATCTTACTTAGTACTTTTAAAGTTAATTTCAGAAAAAATTTGACACAATGGTATCCGGCACATACAAGTGGTGTACAACCAAAATATAAGTTGGTTTAAACATATATTGCTATATCTCATGATCTTACTTAGTACTTTTAAAGTTAATTTCAGAAAAAATTTGACACAATGGTATCCGGCACATACAAGTGGTGTACAACCAAAATATAAGTTGGTTTAAACATATATTGCTATATCTCATGATCTTACTTAGTACTTTTAAAGTTAATTTCAGAAAAAATTTGACACAATGGTATCCGGCACATACAAGTGGTGTACAACCAAAATTTCATATCCCTAGTTTTACATTTATCTTTAGTTTTATTTCACCTAATTTTCAAAGATCATAATTGAATTAGATGGCCAAGCTATTCAAAACACGACCAAGCTTATCAAAATAAGACCAATATATTCAAAATTCTTTATTCTTTCAAATCATTTCATTTTAATGCAGATCCAAGATCACGAACTCACATATATCGAGTTGCTTAAGTATGGAGTGCAACAAGAAATCCAAGCAGGTTGTAGTTATTCATATAAAACTAGGAAAGAAAGAAATCAAATCCAATTTAATTGTAAGTGGCCGAATTGTCCATGTCGCTTCCTTGTTGATACACTTCCCGATGACAAGTACCACATACGAAAATGTATTAACACCCACAATCATTCTGCCCCTTTTCCAAACAAATCACAACAAATTACATCATATTTTTATAGATCTTATTTAACAAGATATTTTGAATCAAATCAAGACCGTGTTTACGCACAATTAAGGTGTTTCAAAGATCTTAATATCCCATTTGATAGTGGGATCATTCCGGAAATGTTTCAACAATCTACAGATGCTTTAAAAAAGTTTTCTAAACGCCTTCATGCAATCAATACCCGTTTCTCAGCGGATGATGTTACATCTCTTGCAATTTTTGTCGACATGGTTAAGAGTCATTCTCCAGATGATCTCATCGAGTTTATTCACGAGCCAGATCGTATGATTTTCTATTACGCCCATTCGAAGCAAATGCTTTTTCACATCAAATACAAACTTATCACATTGATTCCACTTATAAGCTCTTGCGCTCTCGCATACCATTTTATGCCGTCACTGGCAAATTCGCGGAATCAATTGTTTTTCCGTTTTTGTATTTTTTCGTTTGGCCCGACACAAGTGAAAATATACAAGTTTGTCTCACAGCATATTTTGGCTCCATCAATCGCGAACCATCTTATTTTTCAATGGACTGCGCACCTCAAATCACAAATGCTGTTGAAACAGCCATCCCCTTATGCCAGATCATTTGGTGTGGCGTTCATGTGTTGCGCGCTGTCATGAGAAAGGCTGAAAAGTTTCAAGATCGTTCCAACTTCGAAACTTTCTATAACTTAATGAAGTTATTGGTCTTTGGTTCTGAAGAGGAAGAAATTGATCCTGATGAAGTTTACAACAATTTAGAAGAAATTTTAAATGAGGAACCTGCTGCCCGTGAATACTTTGACCGACAGTGGCGCCATCATCTTGACAGGTGGATGCTTCGCTATAGAAATGAAGGAGATGGAATAAACAACATCTCGGAATCACATTTCAAGGTTTTGAAGCACCAGTACTTCCCAGAAAGGCGAAATCTTCGACTCGATGAACTTGTCATCGAGTTATATTCCAGTGTTGTTCCTTCATTCCTGATTAAGTTGCAAATTAAAGGTCTGGATTCAGAGAGAAGTGTTAAAGTTATCAAAAAAGTCACAAGAGATTTCGAAGAAATGACACAATTTAAAAAAGTCGAATGCATCAGTATGCTTGAAGCTGTTCAGAAAGGTCTGAAAAATGATACACTTGATCCCAACATTGTTTACTCAACATTAAAAATATTATTGCAAAGAAAACATTTGATTTAATAAACATTTAATTTATTATAATTAATTTTTTATTACAGTATAGTAAAAAATGCTATAAATAAATTATTATATTTTATTAAAATGTGACTTTTAATAGTAAGTGAATAAAATAAATCAGGAATTGGGAAAGAAGTAAGGTTAATTAAAAATAATGAAAATTACAAGTTTAAGGTTAATGAAAAGTGACAATGGGCGAGTTTGTCCCCCACTCCAAAAAGTGCCGAATTGCAACTTTGTCCCAATCTCTTCATTATTTTAAACTTAAATTAGTTTTTATGATTGACTAAAGCAATCATATTTATTCATCATTAAATAAACAAAAAAATAATATTTGAGAGTTATTTCAAAAAAAACACATTGAATTTATTAATTTGTCTCAATTTCAGTATTATAAATTTTTATAATTTCAATATTTTGAAATACACTTTTTAATATTTCAATATTTATGATATTTCAATGTATTAAGTGGTCTCAAATTGAGCTTCTCAAATATAAGTGTTATAGACCGAAAATAGATTTTTTATATAGGTCAGGTAAGTGGGGCTTCCAGGCGCGTTGCGCCCTCTAGCCCATAAGAAATTTTGCCCAAGACCCAAGAGGAGGACCGAACCCCAGCCGACCACCGGTGACAAAACCAAAACCGTTGTTATTTACATCATATTAATACTGTCACTTTTTTAAAATGTCACTTTTTATGTCGCTTTTCACAAATTATATATGTTTTCATGCTTTGTCACTTTTCTGTCACTTTTCGGGTAAAAACATTTTTATTATTATATATAAATGAATTTTACAAAACCACCGTTACCGTTCTTTGGAAATAAGAGTAGATGTAAAGATATTATATTGAGAGAACTTAAGAAACTACCGAATGGTCTAACATTTGTAGATTTGTTCGGTGGAAGTTTCTATATATCCCATTTATGTCATACAATATTCCCAGACTCAAAGATTATATGCAATGACTTCGACAACTATATGGACCGTCTCAAACACATTCCAGACACAAATAATATATTGAAAGAGTTAAAAGAAAAGATACCTATAGGTAAGATGGAACGTATACCATTAGATAAGAAAAATATTGTGAGAGAGGTTTTGAAAAAAGCAGAATATATAGACTGGGATAGTATATCTGCTAGACTATTATATAGTGGTGCTATAAGAGTTCATGACATTGAAACACTTATGTCAAAAGTTTTATATCTTAACTATACAAATGTTTTCAAAGAGGACATAGAAAAATATATTGAGGGTATAGAGTTTGTGAGATGTCATTGGACAGAGTTGTATGAAAATATAAAGACAAGGAAAATGTTTTCTTTATAGTGGACCCGCCGTTCTATAACACATGGGATTTTCAATACCAAGTAGACTGGACTTTGAGAGACTCTTTAGAAACTTTAGACGTTATACATAACCATCCATGCTTTGACTTTACATCCGATAAAAGTGGTTTGGAAACCGTTATGAGATGGTTAGAGGACATACATGACTATGAGTTTAGATATGACAAGATAGAATATGAGAGAGGTCCTATAAACTGGAGAAAGTGTCACAATAAAGAAATTTTATTAGTAAGTAAATGTGGTTTGAAATAGGACTACTTGTTTTAGGTTTTTTCCATTATGTCATTTATTTATTTGACGTGGCAGAAAAGTACAGAGAATATGAAGATGAACCAATGCCTGCAAATGTTCAGCATATGTACTCGTAAGAGATATTTTTATCTAATATTAAATGGACGCACAGAACTTAGCGAATGCACAGCAAACTGGACAACCAAACCCAGAGAATATTCCAAATGAAGTTAGAATACAAACTGCAATGGCAAACTATGGTCAAGTGCCAACAGATGTACAAATGCAAACTGCCATGTCAAATGACGCTGCGTTAGGTTTGCCACCATGGTATGCAAATATGAGATGGAAAGAGTTTTATACAAACCCTGAAGTGGGATATAAACAACTTTATGCAGATGACGCGAACACAGGAGTTGACCCAGAATATGTTTTCTACCAGAGGAGAAACAGAATGTATGAGCTCCAGTTAAAGAATGCTATGGAACTCAACAGGAAACGTAAGAGACTAGGCGGACATTAGATTTTTACTACTAGTAAAATGGGTTTCTTCAGTAAGATAGGAAACTTCTTTCGAAATGTTGGAAGAGGTATATGGAATGGAATAAAATCTGTCGGAAGAGGAGTATGGAACGGTGTCAAAAATATTGGTAAAAGAGTAGGTCAGTTCGTTGGTATTATACCTAAAGACCCTGAACCAGAAGAACAAGCTCCTGTAATACAACAGCCTGAACCTGCACCACAGTCTAGTTGGCAACCAAATCCAACACCTCAACCGTATTAAAAAATTATATTTTTATCGTTCGATAGTAGTTGTATATGAAACTAAGTTCTAAGTAAAACGCATGGTATAATGGAATTATTCTTTTTCTTCCATCTGTAGTAAACCATACTTGAAAGTCTGAAATACTTCCACTTGGTGGTTCGTATAACTTTGTAGGTTTTTCGTAAAAGTCATTTGCCAAGCATAAGAAAGAGTTTTGCGCACCAGAAAATGAAGCATGAACAATAATAGCATCTGGGTCGAAAATATTTTCATATGTTCCATTAGGGTTTTCGACTTCATAATAGTCCGGGTGTACTGGATATGCTGCAGGCTGATTTAACATCCTCATAAATCTATACCATGCCAAGTTGTTATATTTTGTAGAAATATAAACGTTTTCTCCAAGGTCTTCTATTTTATTGATTTTAACAGTTGCATTTTTCCTGTCATAAATAATATCGAGATGGTATTCTCCTTCGTCAATGTTAAACTGGTTTGCATATTCAATATAGATATCGTTTATTTTTTCTTGAAAAGCTTGAAGAGTTGTTTCTAAGTTTATAAGCAAATTAACTTGTAAAAGTTTTCCCTGTTCAAATTTCTCATACATACGTTTTTCTTTGTTATAGTATCGAACTTCAAAACCGACCGTAAATGGGAAACCATGTATGGCTTCTGAAATGAACTTCATTCTACGAAAGCCAATAGCTTTTGTGACAGATGGGTCTCTTAACCATCTTAATGGGTAGTCAAAACGATAGCCTTCATGCTTTACGGTATCTGTCTCAAACTTTTGACCGACATTAGTAAAAAGTTCATCTAATGGTTTAGTTGTAGCAACTCTAGAATTTTCTTTTTCTATTGGAAGCATATTTTATCTATAATAAAAATGTCAAATGAAACAGCGTCTATGAGAGAAATACAACACAACCGACAACTCATTATGCAAGCTCTAAATAAGAACACAACAAACTTTTCAAACTATTCTAAGATATCTGAGTCATTGAAAGAAGGAAACTTAAAACTGACATTAAACCCAATGACAGACGAGTTTCTGTTTCAAGACAACAAGAACAATACTGTCTGTATAAATCCAACAAAAGGAACTTTAAACGAGAAACCTATAAATGAACTTCTTTTGAAAGCAGATGTTGACAACAAAGCTGACAAAGAATATGTAGACGATGCAATAGCAAAAGAAGAAGAAAGAGCTAACAATGCTTATGCAACAAAAGAACATACTCATCCTGAACTAGCAGACAAAACATATGTTGACAATAAAATGTCAAGTGAAGTGACAAGAGCTGAAAACGAATATTCTAAAAAGACCCATATACATTATATTAACCAAATACCAAGTCTTAAGGAAACATTAGAGACAAAAGCAGATAAGACTCATACACATTTTATATCTGATATTACAAACTTACAAGAAACCTTAAACAGGAAAAGTGACGTTGGACATACACATACCATTGCAAATATTACAAACTTACAAGAAACCTTAAACAGGAAAAGTGACGTTGGACATACACATACATCTTCTGAAATAACAGACTTAAACGTTAGCCTTGAAAATAAAGCAGATAAAACATATGTCAATGAAATATACCAAAGTTTGATAGGAACAAAAAATATTGAAACTATTGTTGGTGACTTTTCTGTCAATGAAGAAAATAAATATTTTAGATGACAGTTGGTACAGTCCTTAAAAAATGGTACACGGCATAAACTCATTCCGAAAAATAACAATGAAATGTATGTAAGCTATAAAAAGAATGATGGTACACAAGTTAAAGTTCCATTAGACAACAACTGCTACTTAAACTTATATGGAGACGAACAAAAGAAATATTTAAGAGTTTATGAAATGGCAGATATGACATTGCCTGACCCAGCTCCAGCACCACATTATTATGACTATGGAGATGACGACAGAACACCACATGTAGATGAACAAAAGCTAACATTATATTTAGATTATTATAGATATAAAAGATATAATGCAATAAAAAAAACGAGAATAGTATATTATTATACAGATGACAGAAATAAATATTATAGTCAAGATTTTACCTACCCCGAAAACATAAGATTATATTATAAAAAATATTCTGACACAAACCAGAAGAAACCTGAAATAGTTGCACTATATTTTAAGTTCAAAAGAGACAATCCTATAATATCTCATATGTTTGATTTAATGAACCCAGTAGGTTCTATTTATACATCTATGGATGCAAGAGGTCCTCAAGTAATGTTTGGTGTTGGTGCATGGGAACAAATAGTCGACAGGTTTTTGTATTGTGCAAACTCTTCAAAGGAAACAGGTGGAAGTAAAACGATTTCAGGTGAAAATTTACCTGCACACAGTCATTACAAAGATTTAAGTACATCTCAAGCAGGTTGGCATAAGCATAGATATTGGGATTGGTCAGGAAAGTTAGTATCCCTAAGTCGCGTACTGTGGCACTGCGCGCCTCCGTACACCACTTAGCGGTTTTGACACTTTACGAAACCAGTAACGTATATTTTACAACACAACCATAACACCAACTTAACCTTAAATATTTACAAAACCATCTGACACATAAACGACTTCACTAACGAATTCCCTACCGTCCTCACTAAATAAAAATAACCTTATTTTTATTTTTTTTAATTTTTTATTTCATTACAAAGACATGTCCGACTACATTTACTATGACTCTTTCCCAGAACGTTTCCGTGAACTATTCAAAACTCAAGTAAAACTGAGAAACATGCATTTTAACAAAGACAGACCCATTGACGATGAAAGAAACCCTGAATATATTACAATCCCTTATGACGCAAAGTTCATTGCATACATTCCTTATGGTCGCAGAGGAACGAAAACTATTTCAACAAAGAACAAAAATTATTTCTGGAGCGATGAAGAAAATTGCCTTATCTACATAAATGCATACTTAAATAAAGCTACATATTGTACAAAAGAAGGTTGGACTGGATTTGAGCTCTACATATACGACGACGATGGAAACAGACGTTGTGTATACCCATACGATAATAGTTAGTATCCCTATGTTGTGTACTGTGGCACTGCGCGCCTCCGTACACCACTTAGCGGTTTTGACACTTTACGAAACCAGTAACGTATATTTTACAACACAACCATAACACCAACTTAATCTTAAATATTTACAAAACCATCTGACACATAAACGACATCACTAACGACTTCACTAACGAATTCACTACCGTCCTCACTAAATAAAAAATAACCTTATTTTTATTTTTTTTAAATTTTTTATTTCATTGTAAAGACATGTCCGACTACATTTACTATGACTCTTTCCCAGAACGTTTCCGTGAACTATTCAAAACTCAAGTAAAACTGAGAAACATGCATTTTAACAAAGACAGACCCATTGACGATGAAAGAAACCCTGAATATATTACAATCCCTTATGACGCAAAGTTCATTGCATACATTCCTTATGGTCGCAGAGGAACGAAAACTATTTCAACAAAGAACAAAAATTATTTCTGGAGCGATGAAGAAAATTGCCTTATCTACATAAATGCATACTTAAATAAAGCTACATATTGTACAAAAGAAGGTTGGACTGGATTTGAGCTCTACATATACGACGACGATGGAAACAGACGTTGTGTATACCCATACGATAATATGTACCATTGTTTTCATCAAGCATTAAACGAATACATAGTCAGTAAGGGTCTCATTCCTGCTGAGTAGAAATGTTATATTTTTGTTCCCACATTTATTTAAAAATTAATGATATCACCACCCTCACACGTATGAAAACATAGCACAAAAATAAATTTAGGTGAAGTGGTGAGATTTCACCTCTTTTTTCACCTGTTTTTTCACCCACTTGAATTCATTGCTTTATAACTCTCTTCCTTTCTCCAACTCTTCTAACTTCTTCTTAAGTTCAGCAATGTTGTCCTCATGAAGTTTAATCTTCCTCAAAATTCCTTCTCTATCTAATGGTTGCTTTATCTTTCTAAACTGAACTCTACCATCCTTCATAGTATGAACGTAAAAACCTTCTGGAACCGCTCCTGATTTAATGTATTCTACCAAAAACTTTTGTTTCATTGCTTCAGTGACTTTAGTCGTCATTTCAATCAAATAAAAATGTTCAAATAAAATAAAAATAACGTTATTTTTTCAGTAAGGAAACGCAGGAGTTTTACGATTTATTTGAGGCGTAGGTTCTGGTTTAAATGTTGGAGTCGGTTTAGGAGTTGACTTTTGAACAGGAGTTTGTACTTCCATAGGTTCAGGAGTCATTGAAGGTTTTGCTTGTGAAGGCGTTGGTTTTGACGTTGGTTTTGGCGAAGGTGTTGGAGTTTGTTCAAATTCAGCTACTTCAGTATTATTTATAACATTTGCTTTATTTCTTTTCAACATCATAACTGCTCCTGCTGTAGCTAGCAAACCTAGTGGGAGACCATATTTTATATAAGGACTTGACCAAATGCTATTTTTGACAGGAGCTGGTGGAACACCTAACCTTGGTGAAACTGCTCTTTGCCATTGTGCAGCTCGTAAGAAATATTCAATAGGTGCTCCATAATCGTTTGGTAAAGTTTGTTTCACAGATGGTGAAGGTTCACGAGAGCTTGATGAAGAACTCATTTATAAGCTTTAAAAATAAACGTTCATCCTTTATTCCTCACCGTCGTCAGTTGCTAAGTTATAGTCATCTAATCTTATTATTGGGATTCCATTAGCACGCACCTGAATGGCAAAGCAACAATCCCTCATAAATCCAATAAGTGGCTTTGGTACGTTTTCAGTTGCTAGTTCAATAGGTCCTTTAACAGACAATTTGTATGTTATTGGAGCAGTAGATGTTTGACCTTGTTGGAAGCAAAAGTCCACTTCTGTTGGAAAACCACATAAGAAATGTGTGTTGTCATAGCTATCCCATTTATGTTCCACACTACCATCATCCACCAATGACCTCATAACATCTTCATTAAATCCTATCATATCATTGTTTGTATTGCAGGCGTTCGCAACCATTTCATAAAATACAGGTCCATATGATTTTTCAGGTTCTGCAGGCATATTTCCATAAGCTCCCATGGAAAGCTGAAGATATTTAAACTTAGGGTTCTCAAAATTAACATAATAGTTGTCTTTCTTTCTAAATAGTGCCCAAATACTTTTAACATTAATAGGCGTATAAGCTGCTGTAAATGTTGCACTTGAACTATCTGTATTCTTTGAGAATGAACCGTCCATAGGAATCCAATCCATAACTTTAACAGGAAAACATAAAGCCTCGTTTGTATAATGTTCTACAAGTTCTGTATAAATGTTAGGGTCTAAAGAGAATGACTTTGGATGAATGAAACATTCATTAAAATCCATCTTTGTTCGAAATAGTTGCTGGGTTACAGTTGTAATAGTAACTGTTCCACTAGCTTCTACTGCCTTCGTTATCATAGTGAATGGTTCATTCCATGGAACAAATTTATTTGTCGGTGGATTTGAATCTGAAGCAAATGCAACTTTAAGAGTTGGATTGAAAGCAATGATATCATTTACAGATATAGATGTGCATTGTAAGGCGTCGCTACTGAACTTTACTTTAAGCTGAATGTTTCCTGCAAAAGCTGGAATAAATCGAATAGCTTCTAATGGAAGGAATCTTCTAACAGGAATTCTTAACGAAGCTTAAAATCAAATGATTTTCCTGCTGTAATTGGACCACTAACAATTTGTCCTGTTCTGCATGTCCCGAATGACTCCATACATCTTTATGTCGGTCTTTGAGAAAACATCTACTTTTTTATTTGTTCGGTAGTTTGTGAGTTTGAAGTTATATATGCTTCTTCTCTTGCGTTGTCTTGAGAATATACGATACGACCATTTGCAAGGATTTGATATCCAGCAACTGCATAGAAAGCGTCATCGAAACCAATCCAAAATCCTGGTGGGTTTGTTTTATTGGAACCTGAACCAATTTCTTTATCTGCAATAAATTGACCTTCCATTTTATACGTAATGAATGTATTGTAAAGGTCCAACATATTTTCACCAGGAGGTGAGAGATTGAATGTTACCCATGTGTTATCTTTAGCAGTTCCAGGTTGTGATGGAATCTTTGCGTCAGAATATTTTCTATTAGTGTCACCAATTTGAACTGCATTGTCTATGATATCGAAATATGAGCGAATCTGATGAATATGCTCTGCTGGAGTAAATTCGTTTAACTGTTCGTTCTGCATGTATTTACTTCAGATAAAAATATCTATTTACTTCATTATTCTCACTCCTTCTTCTTGCATTCGTGGTGGAAGTTGTTTCTTGACATTTTCAATGAAACTGTACATTCTCTTTTGTCTCAACTTCTTTCACTGGCGGGGTCAGGGTTCTTTGACTCGGTTTGCTTTTCAATGAAATTCACGAACTTTGCAATAAGCTCTTGGTTCGTTATTGAAAGTACATCTGGCTTCTTTTCTTCTGGTTCTATTGACTTTTCAGTTTGAACAGAAGGTTTTATATGGGCTTCGTGGGCTTCGCCCTTGCCATGCACCTTAATGTTGTCGCTCTCTGTATTCGCTAATGGTACCTTTCTTTTTCTTACGTATATTTTACCATCTTTACTCTGACTTACGTAATAGAAAGGATGTTGTATTCCTCTGGCGTCATTTAATATAATAGACTCTCGTTCTGATTTTGACAAGCTCATTTTACATCGGTTAAAGTTTTAATTTTGTTTTTTATCTGCAGTCAAATGACTCAGACAAGCCCTACGGACAAGACCCAAGGTGTCATAGATGTTGAAGCATTGAAGAAAGAAATTCGTGAACAAATTTTATCCGAACTGAAGGAACAAAAACAAGAACAAAAGCCAGAGAGACCAAAGAGAAAACTTAGTGAAAAACAACTTGCTGCATTAGCTGCTGGAAGACAAAAGAACCCACGTTTGCTGGCAAAGAAAGCTAGAGAAGAAGCAAAAGCAAAGGAAGAACAAAAAGCAAAGGAAGCTGAAGCAAAGAAAGAGTAAATGGTTTATTTTTATCCAAACTAAATGTATAGACAAATACCTTTATCTGTTGCGTTCAGTAGTGAAAACCCTGACGTCAAAATAAAGGGGAACAGAGTAACGTTTAAGTTTCCAACAGACTGGATTGTGAACATAAATGAAGAGAAGTACATTGGCATAACATCTATGTATATAACACGTGCTTTCAGAAAGGTTGACTTTATACTTCAAGTCGAGATAGAAAATGACGAACAGTCTTTAAGCGCCCAAAACATTCACATATACAAATACTTTAAAGACGATACAACATTGCAACAATGTATGATTTCATTTAATGAGATGTTCGAGAAAAAGTTCAACATTGAAGTACAAACTTTACAGCCTTTACGTGAGTTTCTTGCACAACTGAAAGAAGAAGGTAGTCAGCCACAACTTATAGACTTTCATTATGAATTTAATGAAAATGAAGATGGAACTCATGACTGTCAATTCATTGTATTCTCACCATTCAATGAAGTCGCTAAAAAGAAAAAAAATCCATTACGTATAAGATTTCAAATCTCTGAACCAAGTGATGATTTTAAGAATGTTTTCAATTATGATGCAATGCTTCCGAGGAAAAATGAATTTTCAAAGATTGTAACACCTGGCATTTGGGATAGAAAGCAAGCTATATTATATTCAAACTTAAGTAAAGGAGTTGAAAATGAGTTCATTGGTCATACAAGAACTTCACCACTTCCTAACCCTAAATACTATAAATTAACTGGCTTCAATCGTGAGTTTTGGATAGACATGTTCTCCACTCATGACCATAAATGTCCAGTGTTCTTGCCTCCAGACCATAAGGACTGTCTCTACATTGAAACACAACTCTTAAACTCTACCATCGCAGTATTGTAAAATCTACGCTAGCTTTATTTTTATCACGAATGACCTCATTCATGACCTCATTCATGACTCATTGCTGACAAAAATAAATGACCTCAGAACTTCAACTTACGAATAAAGCTTGTTTTAGTCGTTATTGAAAAGTTGAACTTTTCAGCAAAGCAAGGTTGACATGACTTACATAAGTCGAATGCAATCTCTTGACCATCATAAAGTGCTTTGTAAAGTTTCATTAAACTGAACTCAGAGTCTTGTCATATGTTCCAACAGGTATGTGAATGTTCTTATCTTCATTGTAATAGCATTGTATAGCTTCAGGAAACATTTCATTAGCGGTTTAAAGCAATAACATCTTGCTTCACGCCTTTCATTCTGCAGTGAAATGCAACTTCATTTAAATCATTCGTGAGTAAGTCTATGTAGGTCTTCTTTCCACAGAAAATACTTTTATAAGCTAAACTTTGTTTTCCAGGTGTTATTTCTGCAAAGTCGCTATGAAATTGACCAAGGTTCTTTCCTATAAGTTCGCGACCATATCTCTTCTTAAACTCTGCTGCAAGCTTTGGGATGTCTTCATTATATAAGTGCATACTGTCGGTATCCTGGTAAAATATTTGAAGACCATGTCCTCTGCAGTACAGAATACTTCATTCATAATACGTTTTGACATAGACAGAATATTAACACCAAGTGGACAGAAGTTAAAGTGTCTGCAAATGCTTTTCGTTAGCTTGAAAATAGTTTTATCTGAACCATCCAAACCTTCGAACTTCACTATATGGTTGTAATTTCTTATAGCATATCTTATAGCATCTTTGTCATTACTATGGTTATTTTTGACTCAATAGGAGATAGAATAGTTTTGCCATAAATGCTGTTCAGAATGAGTTTTATAATTTCTTGTAAGGGGTTTTCCTTCTTTCTTATACTTTAACCTTAACTCAAACAACTTCTTTACTTCATCTCTTATTCTCATATCTCTGTTTCCATCGTAATAGTATCCTTGCAACACTTCACATTTGACACCTTGATATTTTATGAGGTCTTGTAATGTTATATGGTCAACATACATGAGACAGCAAGTGTTTGAACTTCTTGGAACGTTAAGTTCTGGATTTAGTTCAGGGTCGCAAACTATTAAATGAAAGTGTCTGGGTATACCAATCTCTGTTATCTTAATGAGAACAAAGAAGCCAGACATAAACTTTTCACCAATGGGTTCCTTTGGTCGTCATCGAATAAATGTCTCATGAGATACTCTGTGCTTAACATTTCTTCCTTCAATACTTTTGGAATACCTTCTAAAGTATAAAGTCTTGCTATAGCTGAAGGATATAATGAAACAGTGTCGAAGTCAGCAATGAGTTTCTTTTTGCTCTTTTGTTTCATGTTATCTGACAACATACATCTTCCACCTTGAATGCATCTCGAAATAAATTCTCTTGGTTTATTTGAGAGGTCATAAAGATTTCCATTCGGGAAGTATACTCTGTTCTCAAACAATTTGTTAGCAATAGAACAAATACTAACGTAGTCATAAACGTTTAAATCAAACTCTTTCAATAAGTCATTGCGGAACTTTACAAAACCTTCTCTTAAAATTCTTACATCTTGTTTGCAGTAAAACGTGCTATATTTTTCTAAGTCGAAGTGGTTTTCATCTATTCTGCAACCTTTGATGGAATCTATGTTCTTCATAAATGTATCTGCATCATGGATAAACTTACATGCTTCAGAAATGACACCAGTTCTGTTGTCATTTGCTAACAAAACACTGCTGTAGTAGTTATATGGAAATACTTCTTTCGGTCCTGTTTGTAAGTTAAACATAGCAGGAAATAGTTTAAGCTTCTTATTTATAACACTGTAAGAGTCTTTTATAATAATTGCCCGTCCTTTATATAAACCAGTTATTTGCATTGTTCGTGAACCTTTAATGATGGGAGTTCCTTTCACTTCTGTCATGTGTCTTAAGATGAAGTTTATGTCATAACTGAGGTTATGGAAATATATTAAACTCTTGTCAGGAAGTCTTTCCAAAAATTCTGTTGCACAGTTTTGACCCCAAATACTTTCACTAACTGAACCATCTTCACTGTCATAACAGATGTTAAAAGCTTTATGAAAGCCATCCGTACTACACTCAAAGTCAGCAAAGAAAACGTGCTCAGGTATGAATTTACATTTAGCTTTATTTACTTCTTTTGACTCTGCTTTCTTCTTCAGTTGTACACAATACTTTGGAGCATATGTCAAATCTTTAAATGGTGCAAGGTTCTGTTTATATAAGTCAGTAGTATATGTGAAAAGTTCTCCATAAGAAATAGGTTCGAAATATTTGCACTCCCACAATGTTTTCATAACATCCATAACGGTGTTGTTCTATCATAACGAACTACATATTTATCTTCTCTCTTTGTATAAATCTTCATCTGTTTCTCAATGTTCATTCCACCACAAGCTTTGAGAATTTCTTTATAGTTTCGAATGAAATATGTTGTCATTGGAATCTTTCATTTAGCATGTAGTGGTCTTCAACAAGAAGTAAGTCAATAGTTCTAACAGTTTCGCATTCTTTTGGTATGTATCTCTTTATTTCATTATGTCTTGAGTCATTGAAATAACCAATGGTAACATTAAATGCTATACCTGTTGCGTCAGAAATTTCTTGTACTTTACTTTGAGGAAAGTCTCTAACACGAATGACTTCTCTCATGTGGTCAATAGTTTCTTCATTTACTCCAGCCTGAATGCAAGCATAAACGAAACAATTGTCCTCTGTCATAAGTGTTGCAGTTCTTTTGTTCAGTTCATTGAAGATTTGGTAGCGTTCAAGATTTATAGGTAATGTGCAAAGATACTTCCAGAACTGACCGCTTCTCTTCTTATAAAACTTCTTTTCACCATTATCTTTCCAAAGCATCTATAATGCTGTTTTTCCTGTTTGCTTAAGAGCTTCCAAAATCTTTCTGGTCTTTGTCAGTGTGCTTTCATCTCTATATGGTCTCTTTTTTGGTTTGCCTTTCTTTACATCTGACATCGTTAAGCCTTCATATTCTGTTAAATCATACATCTTTATTTCGGTAAGATTCTTTATGTTTGTCAAGAAGAAGTCATAGTGCATTTCAACAATACCTGCAGCATTTGCTTCTATCTCTGATATAAAGTTCTCCTTCAAGAGCTGATGTAGTAATGTTCCAATATTATTGAGGTTTAACGTAGAACATTCATACTTTCCACCAAGTTTATAACATACCATCCATCTCTGTTGTGAGTTTATTTTAATTTTCTCTAAGAGTCTCATGAAAACCTTACCGAAATGTTTGTGTAAGTAGTCTCTGTTTGGTTCATCTAAAGCTTCGATGTTAAAGTCAATGAGTCTATTGCCTGACTTCACATTCCTCTTCCTATTTTCTTCATCTTTCTTTAACCATCTCTCACCTTCTTTTGGTTTGTCGTCAATGGAACGAATGACATCGTTAGCTTTACGAACTTGTTCTATAGCACTTTTAAACATCTCTCTTCTCTGTTGTTTCAGTGTGTCGTCTCTTCTTCTTGTTTCACCAACGTTTGCATGGGCTACGCCCGCGCCGTCATGCGGCTTTGTTATGTCAAACATTTCTCTTCTTACTTCATGAGGTATTGAACGTCTATGATATAAGTCAATAGCAATGTCATTTAAAGGAAATGCTATTGCATGAACTTCGTCCTCGCCGCGTTGCGGCTTTATGAACTCATGAATTCTATCATAACTTATTGCACCATTATAGTCTTTAATGAAGTCAGCGAGTGCTTTTTTGTTTGTCGCGTAATGTTTTGCAACATCTATATTAGCTTCTGTAAGAAGTTGTTTTATTTCCGAGTGTTCTAACTTAGACAACTTCCGATACATCTTTAGTAGGAAATAAAAAAATATTTTTTGAAAAAATTAGATTAGATTTTTTTAAGTTATTTTTCAAAATAATTTAATATTTTTATTTTAATGAAACACATGCAAGATTGCAAGTTCTTTTCATACAATGCTCTCGCTACTGTCATCAAGAATGAGTTCAATAATGCTTCAAACGTTAATGTTATCTTTAACAAGAAGTTTGTGAAAGAATCTAAGTTTGGTCAGTATGTCAGACCATTAGCTATCGTCATTGACCGCAAACGTTATACTTCACAAGAGTTAGCAGTAGTTTTGAAACAAAAGAGTTTCTTCGTGAATGTCAAAGATACTCATTATACTGTCATAAAGAACTCCAACATTGACTTCTTCAGTATTGCTATGAATCTTTCCGAACAGAAAGAATATAAGAAGGGTGAAACAAATGTGAAATATTATTCTTCATCTCTGAAAACAATAACGAACAAAGATGTTATACAGAAATTCTTACCAAAGGTTGAAGAAGCTTCTATTGACATTGACGAAGAAAGTGAAATGGTTGAAGAAATTGACCCTGACGTCATTTAAGCAAAAATATATTTTTTTTATTCTTCCTCTTTGAAGTTATCGAAATATTCTGTTATTTTTTCCTTCAGTAATGTTAAGTCTTCTTTGAATGTAAGTATTGTGCAACCTTTGATGTCATAGTGTGTTTGAGGAAGAGTATTTTTGACAATTTCCTTTATTTGCTCATTCGGTGTCATTGAAATCGGTAAGTTTTCACGATAGAACCAGTTTCTGTCAGATTTATATATTTTAGCAAGGTCATAAAAGCTCTTGTTGTTTCTTCTCACTAAATGCAACATAACCATATCTCTGTCTTCTTCATTTTCCATCTCTTCAGTATATATCATATACTTATAACTCTTTTCCTTTCCTTTTGGTACCGAACGTGGTATTCTTTTCTGTATGCTTTTGTCTTTTGCTTCAATGACTTCATCTTTTGCATGAAGTTTCTTTTCCATATCTTCACGTTCTTGTCTATGAATTTCGTCAAGAAGTTTACAAACATACCAAGCATAACGAGGTGAAGCCCACATTGCTACAGCATTTACGAGAAGTCTATGAACATAATATCCTCTCAAACCGTTTGGCAATTTTTCACGATTTTCATAGAGTTTTGGCGACTGGGATTTTTTACCTACTCGCTGTTCTTCACTGTTTTCAGAAAAAAGTACGTCTCGCTGTGCTTCACTTAATAGTTCTATGGTGCTTTGGTTCCTAAACCAGTCTTTAGGAAGCTTAGTATCTGGAGCAAAACAAGCCGTCAAAATACTTTGCATTTGGTACATGTCGTCTTTGACAGAACGAATGAGTCTCAATTGTTTGTTATATTGTATGTACTCGTATTCTTCATTTATGACTTCATGAACGATAGCAGTTGTTGTGTTCTCTAATGTTGACATATCTGTCCTTACATACAGGATAAAAAATAAATAAAAATAAAATTAGCGTTATTTTTTCTGAGATAAACACTATTTCTTCACAACATTAAATTTTATCCTGTATGAAATGACTTTAAAAAGATTATTGACTGACTTCGAATACTATCTCATTGACGCACTGACAGACCCTCAAAACTGTGTTGAAAGTTCTTTAAGCTTTAAGATTGAAGGTACGACGCATTTTGTCTTCACTTACGTATTGAAAGAATATGACCGTTATCATAACGAAGTGAATCAAACACTAATAAAATTTGTAGATAAAAAATTGGTTAACAATGAATATTTTAAACGTGAAGACCCAAACACTGCTGGAGATGATGAAGAATACAGACAAGTTATTGAAAAAAATAACGCAAGATTAGATGCAATAGAAAAGAAGTTTAATGAATGTCTTACAAACACGTATGAATATCTTATGCAGTGGGAAGCCAGATGGAAATAAATTTACGTCAAATATGCAATTTATAAAATCTTATGTCGACAGGCTACGTAGCACAGTGGTCTAAGGTGGTGTTATGGAGGGGTCAGGGTCTGTGGTTCGAACCGCGACAGCGCCGTATTTTCTTATTTTCTTTATTTGTCTTGTTTGTCGTGAATAAAAAGTGTCATAAAAGTGCTCTATCTTCCACGGGAATAAATAAAAAATTTACTTTATTTCTTCTTTATTTCTTTGTTCCCGTGGAAGAAGGGTTTTGCTGTTTTTTCTCAGCCGAAATCAATGATTTTTTCATTTTTGGAATCCTTAGCGAATGAGGAATCTTTTCTCTCGTGGAAGCTTTGACCTAAAATATAATTTAGGTGAAGAGGTGAGATGTCACCCGTTTTCTCACCTGTTTTCTCACCCTCGTGACTTTGTCATAACTTCTTCGTAAATGAGTGTAAATGACCAAAAATATATTATAGGTGAAGAGGTGAGATGTCACCTCTTTTTTCACCTAATTTCTCACCCTCGTGAATTTTCATGAATTTCCTTAAGATAGAAAAAATAACGTTAGTTTTATTTTATTTATTTTTTTATTTTGTATGTAAAGATATGATTTCAACAATCGGCACAACAACAATTCAAGCCGCGAACGGCGGGACTCTGTCCACAACAACTTCACCAAACTCGTTAGTCATGAATCCAACATCTATGTTAGTAGAGATGAAAAACTTCATTCCTTCTTCATATACTTTCGAAACAAAAATCCAGAAGATAAAGCAAGAACTTTTAACAAATAATTTAGACTGTAGTGCGAAAGATGAAACAAATGAACAGTATCTTTATGAAATGCAGGACATTATTGACCATTTACCTAAACTACCTGAAATTCAGCATCAAAAACTAACTATTCCTGAATTCGACGAAATAGAAGTGAAACCAACTGACTCAGTAGAAATAAAGAAGTTCATTCGAAAGGTAAACTATGAGTTTCTAGGATTTCATTGCAACCATAAGGTTATGGACAAAGATTGCGACATGGTATATAAGAATGTTTCTGACATATATAAATCCGGGGAGTTTAAGACCTACGATAACTTTGTTTCGTTAGTTGCTGAATGTGTATGGCAGATAAGAGATAAAGATAGAAGAGGTAAAATATGGAACGAAC